CCCCAATTTTTTTTTCTCCCATGTCCCCTGGGGGGCTCCGTAGCAATTGACCTGGGACTATAGCCTTGGAGTTAAATCTGTGGAACTGGTGTCGGATGTGGTGGAGGAGCTGGACCCAGTAAAAGGTGGTTTCTGGTTAGAGACAGCTGGTGAAAACCTGATTGCTGTGATGACTCTAGAACAGGGGTGTCCAACTCCAGGCCTCAGGGACCAGTGTCCTGCAGGTTTTAGATGTGTCCTTGTTCCAACACAGCTGATTTAAATGGCTAAATTACCTCCTTGACATGTCTTGAAGTTCTCCAGTTCTTTTGCTGCTCTTAAAAAGGACCGGTCTCGTCTTCTCCTTTTCCTCGACATGTCACTCGATGACGCTTGGAATACGCTCCAGCAATCCCAACAAAGGCTTCACATGGGATTGCACCAGGTGTCTCTCCCAGGTGATAAAACTCTTTTGCTTAACTCATGATCTTGCTTACTATTTAGACTTTTCAGTATTTAAACTACTCACCAGAGTAGTGAGAAAAAATTGTTTGGCAAAAATCTCCCACTGCAGGTAAATTTTTTTAATCCTGAAAATCAAACCACGGGGAGTTACACGATTCTAATTCCCATTTTGACCACTTGGGGTCAATATCCTAAATGGCTGTTACTGATTATTTGTCTAATGACTCCATAAGCATGCTGTCTACTCTGGAGTTTATTAGATGAAGCAATTACATTAAAAAACAACCCAAAACAAAACAACTAAGTGTGGATGTGAGACTGTGTGGTTCTCTTTGTCAGCCTTTTGTAAAGGCTGACTCTGACTATATGACAGCTGGGATAGGCTGCAACTCCCCCCATGACCCTAAGTTGGATGAGCGATTAACACAATAAATGGATGGATGCTAACATGGCTTATTCAGCACCAGTGACTGTCACGCTGCCAGTTACTCTGATTAGCCAGCGCTACAGAAGCAGAGTACATGAGCCAAAAACTCAGTTCAGGGATTGGCTGTCCCACTCCTTACCCAATATATGAGAAGCAGAAAAATGGCAGGATGGTACTTTAGAGAGACGAGGGTCAAAAGAGGTTTAATTGAAAACTGAAATATCTAGCGACCATAAATGTAGCACTCACAAAGTCACCTTTATCATCTATCACTCGTTGCACCAGTGAAGTTGAAGATTGAAGAGTGCTGGAAATGAAATCCCTTCTCACCTGGCTGCTTGTCCAGGATCTGCTGGAATTTCGCCCGCTCGTACTGTATGGCCTGCTGCATGAGATGAGGCCTCAGGCTTTGAATGGTGAAGTTAACCATGTCGGTCTTCATGAGACCCAAGACACGGAAGATCTCCCTGGGAGGAATAATGTTTGAGTAAAACCTTTTTTGACATTCTTGGAAATAAGGTAACCTCAACCACTAGAGGGCAGAATTTTAATAGGCGTTTGGAGATGTTTTAAACAGTGGATACTTTAGCTCTACATGCATTTCCTCAAGAAATAGCAGGTCATCACTAGAGCAAAGGACTTGCCCAGTTAAATAAAGGTTACACAACTCACAGCATCATCATGTGGCGCAAAGTGGTATTACATGATAGTACAGTTTGGCCAAAGTTCAATTTTAGTTAATATCTCTTCAGCACAATATATAGATGCTTTGGATATAAATTAATAATTTGCATCTTTATATTGTTTAAATAGATTTAGTTAATTCTGGTGGGATTTATACTATTTTTAAAACAAGAATTTACAAGCACTTTTAAATATTTGCACATACTGAAGATTATTTTTAGTTCTAATTGGACATTATGAGAGGTATTACTGCAGAACGGAGCATCCAAACTGACTCACACCAACTGAAAAAAAGTTTGGATTTATCTTATATTGGTACTGCATTACTAAGCAGAAAACTGATCAGTGAATGTATATTAATTCGGTTTTACGTTACATTTCATGGTAATAATGTGGTCTGCAAGTGATGTCATTACAGGAATACAGCTTGCTGCATGCTGGATTTTAAACAGGGCCACAGCCTGCCACTGATTCCATGTCAGACACAAGTTTATTCGCTGCAGGTGTTGTTAACCTGCTTCTTACCTCAGGAGCTCCACAGGTTCCTTGAGATCCCGCAGTGCTCTGACTTCTGGGTCGCGCACCGGAGCACATAAAGATGCCATGGTGTTGATAACGAATTCCGCCAGTCGGTGGAGGTCCAGAGCCCCGTGGTCAACCTCCTGCCTGATCAGATCCATGTCCAGCACCTCGTCAAGCTGAGACCTCAGTCTGACGTGAGCAGGCAAGAGCAGGGACTGAAGCATCTAATGTGAAGAAAAATGTCTGTTTTCACTAACATGTTATGTTTTGTTTGGAAATATTCAGTTTATCCAGTTCTTTTAATATAATACACTGCAAACACTCACTTGGAACTGTTTTTTTAAGTCTATTTAATAAAGATTTACCTACTACCAAGTTTACAATCCCTGGGCAGATAAACACAATCTTAAACAAGCTATAAAATACAAGCACACATCTAAGATAAAAGTAGAGTAGAATATGGGTTTGATTAAAGATGACATGGCCAGTTTCTTTCTGCTTTTTTAATTTCTTCTCCTTTTTTTTGGAATCAAAAGAGAAGATATGAAAATCTACATATGTGCTCAAGGGATCTTATTCCATTTCTTATTTAAATTTACAGGAAACAGAAGATTGTGCAAAGACAGAGCTTCTCTAAGTAAATGTACACTCTCAAAGCAGCCAAACCTGAACCTGTCATCTGTTTTAAATAAAGCTGTGCAAACCTTGTGGAGGCGCAGTAGTGTGACTATATTAAAGATAAACATCTGGGTATATATGTTGGGGTTCCCAGAAGCTACAAATACACTTTGCAGTGACCTAATATTTCATCTCAAAATATGCAATGTTGTTTTTTCAGTATGATCAAAGAAATGAGCTGGATAATCACTTCCCTCGTACTGTATATTTTCAATCACCAACATTTTCATTCAATGTAAGGCACAAAGATTTCATCAATTTTGAAATTCCAAAACAAGCAGCTGTTCAGCTTCTTTCTTGTGTGAAAAGGACTGGGACATCTGCCCACAATAGGATTTCTACACATCAAAGTGATGTACAAACTCAAATAAACTGCCACACAGTTGCCAAACCCAATCTGTTGTAATATCATTGTGACGTGTATTTCTCTGATTTTTCTGTTTTATGTCACTTTAAAAATGACTGAATTGTTACAAAAAAAACCCCTAAAAGATCTAAAATGTAAGATTTTTTTTGTCTTCACATTTCTTTTAAACCTGAATATTTTTGACAGCATCATAACAAGTACATTGTGAATTAAAGTAATGCTTTACTGATCAGATAGCGCTAATTTCTCCTTTTGTAAGGTTGGTGATCATGTTTGTGCTTTCCTTTTGACCCTTACAATGCCAGATACTCACAGTTTTGACTTCCTGCAGCAGAAGGACAGCGTGGCTGTAGTTTGGAGGATCGCTGTTCAGCTGCTCCTGAAGACTGTCCCAAAAGGCCCGGTGAACGATTTCTGTCACTCTACCCTCCAGGCTGCAGACAAGCAGTTTAAAAGAACAGCTCAAGGGTAAAAACACTCATTAATATAGGAACTAAGAATAACCAAGGTCACTGTAGATGTGGTTAAGTGTTTTCTTGCCTGTCTGTAGAAGGATTTCGGGGTTTGAAGCAGAAGTCTCTGTTCACCACTATCTCATGTGCAAGACTCATGTTGGAAACGCAATTTTCCAGCTCCATTAGACTGGATAATGAGGCAGTGGGTGGGCTCCCTGACACCACAGACAGGACACACACACCCACAGATAATTAAAACTGCCACGGTGGTAATATTTCAATTACTAATGGCCCCTGAATGTGCCTGAAAACAATAACTGCTGTAATAACTGCCACGTACCTGTTGGAGAGTCAAGTTTTTCCAGACAGGGAAGGTCAGCAGGGGAATCATCAGTGGCTCCCTCTCTCTGATTTGGCATTTCAGAAGAAGTCTAGACATTTAAATCACTCGTTAACGTGGTACAAATAGTCACTTTTGTCAGGTTTTAACTACGCCTCCACTCAAAATGGTCATGGTTGAGACTGTTTGTCAATTGATTAACAATCAAGCAACAGTTTTAGTCATATTTTAATGAGAAACAGCACAGCTACAGTTTCAAAGATTTGCCCCCTGGTTTGGGGACTAGTGATAAAAATGAACATAAAGTGTGACTACTTCTAGGAAATTATAAGGGGTTTTCATCTTTTTCTATAAATGTACAATAGTCCTGTATCTATATTCAACTCTATCTATATAAACACACATTTTTCTATATTTATATA